GGAAGAATCACACGGGAAAGGTGTTGTTGGGGCTATTTTGGGCGTAACCCCAAAATGCTTGAGCGTGAGCCACACTTTCAAAGTAAATACAGCTGGCGCTGAAAGCGCCAGAGCGTTTATGCGTTTATGGGGGCTCCAACAACACGACTTGTTGTGTAATCGACATTCAACAACAGCACATGAGACAGCAATGACCTTTACATGCGAAGTCCATAGCGCAACAGAACTTAAACGCGCGGTGACACGGGCCAGCTCGAGTTGCTCAGAAGGGGTAAAGCCTGTTGAAGTTGAAGTTGCAAAATGGTAAGTGTCGAAGTTGAAAAATCCGGACAAGTTGCTCAGAAGTGGAACCATCACCTGTGGAATTCTCAGAGGGGCAGGGGATCCCCTCTCGCCTGCTCCGAATTGACGCCAATCCATGCCATGCTGGGGCTCGACTCTGGGTAGTACTTCTCGTGGGTGCTCGTGATGACCTCCCAGGTTGACAGCTCAGCTGGCCACGACGCGCAGTCCTGCAGCTCGGCGGTGCGAGACGAGAAGCCGTCCTGCTCGGCCCTCTCCTGCCCGAGGACGAGGCAAAGGCTGGTGTTCACCACGGCGAACTGCCTGCTCGGGGTGTACCTGAACTTCTGCAGAGAGTCGGGCGCCCGGCACTCCACCATGACAAGCTGAGTCCCAGCCTCGAGGGACCCAGCGACCCGGAGGCAACCGCCGCGGGTGTTGTTCAGGTCTGCCTGCCATATCCTTCCGTCCTGCTCCCCGTCATACATCGGGTTGCATATACCGTTGAAATTCTGCGACACGATCGACCCCGTGTCGGGGTCGTACCGGAACTGGGTGTCCGCACCGTCCGACTTGCAGGTGTGCCCCTGGATGCTGTCGCACTGCGGGTGGGGCGGGGACCCAGCGATGTCCAGGCAGTAGCCCCAGTAGTTGTCGAGGTCCACGAGGTCTGCGAGATAGATGTTGGGCCCCGGGACGTACGGGTTGCCCTCAACGCCGCTCAGCTGGCTGCGCTCTGTCCCTCCCGCGTCCCGCTTGAGCATGTGGCGGGGTTTTGACAGCGCAGAGGCCGTCTGCAGAGCCTCGAAGCCGATGGACGCGTGCTCGCATTCCTGCTCGCGGCCCACGTCCGCCTCCGAGCGAGCGGCCCCGCCGAAGGGGCCGCGGCCCGCGGAGGCAGTGGCCTCCGCGAGCGGCACGGCCCACCTGGAGAGGAGGATGAGGAGCCAGGGGCGCACCATGCGCACCATGCCCCAGGAGCCGAGGCGCTGTCGGGGCACCCGACTGCGGAGGGTTTGAGCCAACGTCGTGGTCAGATAACGCACCAGACACGCGCTCTACACCACGCGCGCGCAAGCACACAACAACAACAACAACAACAACAACAACAACAACAACAACAACAACAACAACAACAACAACAACAACAACAACAACAACAACAACAACAACAACAACAACAACAACAACAACAACAGCACCAACAGCACCAACACAACAACAACAACAACAACAACAACAACAACAACAACAACAACAACAACAACAGCAACAGCAACAGCAACAGCAACAACAACAACAGCAACAACAACAACACCAACACCAACACCAACACCAACACCAACACCAACACCAACACCAACACCAACACCAGCGCCAACAACAGCAGCAGCAACAGCAACAGCAACAACAACAACAATCATCAATTTCAGACTGATCGCTCTTACTGGCACACGTGTTCTGCATTATATATACCCCAGGCCTCGATACCCGTCCACTTCGTCCTCGATCGCACCAACTTTCGGGGGGAATATCTTCCTTGTCGGCCACTGACTGATCTGTGAAGAACTCTCGAGCGAGAGCACCCTCTCTGGCCAGGCCACGGGCTCTCTGAATACAGAATGAGAAATATCGAGCGGAAACCCTTGTCGCCGTGTCTGGGCCTCCGCCAACTTGCCTAGTCGACTAGGAAGTATCGAGCGAGAGCGCCACTCTTGAGTTCGGGGGCCTCTCTGGCAAGGGCCTCTGCGAATACATATTGAGGAATTTTCGAACGCGGGCCCTTGTCGTCGCAGTTGGGCCTCCAACAATTTGACTGAATCACGAGAGAGTCTCAAGCGAGAACGCCGTTCCTGGGTTCGGGGGCCTTCCTGGCCAGGGGCTCTCGGAGTAAACCGTGAGGAACTATCGAGCAGGAGCCCTTGTCGTCGTGGTTGGGCCTCCAAGTCGTGTTCCTGCTAAGTGAGCTTCTGTTCTGCTAAGTGCGCTTCCGATGTGCTTGATCCCGTTGCCAGCCCCGTCTCCTGCTACTGGTGTGGCACTGTAGTTCATGCCAAATTCAATGGGGAGCTCTGGAAAACAACTCCTCCTCCTCCTCCTCCTCCTCCTCCTCCTCCTCACCTCCTGCTCCTCCTCCCCCTCCTCGTGCTCCTTCTGTCCCTTTCTTTATCCCGCATCCCCCCACAGTGGAAGCCTTCGATTCATGCCCATCTGCACTTGCATGTTGCATATGCATTGCACTTGCATGGAGTGCCATTGCATTGCAGTGCACGGCATTGCATTACGACGCATGGGACTGCATTTCTGTTGCATCACTCCCCATTGCGCTGCCTCACATTAGGTTGCGAGATCATCGCAACTTTGGGCTCCGAGCTCTCACGGACAAGGTAGCCTGCCCATTTAGCTTGGAATCTCTTCGCAACTTTGGGATCCTAGATGCACGCGAGAAGTGGTCTGGTCCGTTTCGCCTGAGACATCCTAGCAACTCTGGGCTCAGAGATGCCCCAGAACCTGAGGAGGCACAGCCGTTTCGCCTTAGACATCCTCGCACCTCTGGTTTCAGACATGCCATGCGCGAGTTGATCTGGCCAATCTTGTCTCGGACATTCTCGCCTGAGACATCCTCCCAACTCTGCGAGATGCCGCGCGGGAGGTGGTCTGGCCAATTTCGCCTGAGACATCTCCGCAACTCTGGGCTCCTAGATGCCGCGCGCGAAAAAGGTGTGGCCGGGCTCGCCTGAGGATTCTTGCATCTCCGGGCTCAGATGCGTCCTGGCTCGACGTTGTCCAGCCCAATTCGCCTGAGACACCCTTACAACTCTCGGCTCAAAGATACCTTTCGCGAGGTAGACTGGCCCAATAATCGACGAAGCCATCGTCGCATCCTGGGATCGGAGATGCTCTGACCTGAATTGGTCCGGCCCGATGCGCAGAGGACATCCTCGCAATTCTGGGCCCCAAAATGCCCCGACCTGAAATGGTCCGGCCCAGCTCGCCCGGAGCATTCTCGCAACTCTGAGGTCCGAGCTGCCAGGCGCAAGGCGGTCCAGACAAACTCTGCTCAGACATCCTCGCAACTCTGGCTCTGAGATGCCGCGTGCGAAGTGGCCTGGCGAATTTTGCCTGCAACATCTCCTCAACTTTGGGTTCCAAAATGTCGCACGCGGGCTCGGATATACTCTGACCTGAGGTGGTTTAGCCCGTTTCGCCTCAGATATCCTCGCAACTCCATGCTCGGAGATGCCGCGCGCGAAGTTGTCTGGCCCGCTGCGCCTGAGACACCCTCGCAATTCTGGTATAAGAAATGTTGTGGCCTGAGGTGGTCTTGCCCGAATCGTTCGAGACATCCTCGCAACTCTGGACTCGAAAATGCGACGCGCGAAGTTGTCCGCTCTGGCTCGCCTGAAGCACCCTCGCAACTCTGGGTTCCGAAATGCTCCTGACTTGAGGTGGTCTGGCCAGTTTGGCCTGAAACAGATTAGTAACTCTGGGCTCAGACATGCCGCGCCAGAGTTCGTTTGGCCGATTTCGCCTGACGTGCCCCCGCAACTCCAGGCTCAGAGATGATGCGCTCGAGGTGATCCGCCCAAATGTGCCTGATCCATCGACTCTGGGCTCCAAGACGCCGCGCGTGAGATGGTCGGGCCAATTTCGCCTGAGACCTCCTCACAACTCTGGGCTCTGAGATGCCGCGCGCGAGGTATTCTGGTCTGTGTTGCTTGAGACAGTATCACAAATGGGTTCCGAGAGGAAGGGGGGAGGAGTCAGACGGGGCCGAGCCAACCCCACCTGTCACATTACGCTCCTGATGTCGAATTGCGCCCAAGGGGTGGCCTGGGCGCCGCTGCCCCGAGGAGGCAATCGGCGCCAAGACGAAGGCAGTATTTCCGAGTGATGTGAAGTCTCAGGCGGAAGGGGCGCCATTCCTCATTGCATGCTGAAATATCCAGCGACAGGAGAAGTAGACGAGCGAGGAGGATAACCAGGAGATGAGGGGCTAGAAAAACCAAGAGGAAGAGCACCACGAGCGCGAAAACGAGAACGAGGAGAAGAAGAGGATAAAAAAACGAGGAGAATGAGGAAAATTATGGAGGGGGTGATGATGCGACGCGCGGCTTCGCAAGGTACGCACTCGATCGAAAGCTGACATCACCTGAAGGTCTTGATGAGGGGGGGAAAGAGGGGGCGGGGGAGAGGGGAGGGAAAGAAGGGGGAGGAGAAGGAAGAGGGGGAGGAGGAGGAGGAGGGTGAGGGTGAGGGCCGCTGAGAGCGCGTCCGAGTCGAACACGCCTCATAAACAAATGAGAACCCTGAGGGGGCCGCGAAGCGGCGGAAATAATATGCACTGAGAGGGCGAGCGAGGGCCAGGGAAAACCGACGCCGTGAAACCGCTCCCAAGAAAAGCAAACCGAGTTACGTCTGCGCTTTGCCCTCGGGGCGCTTGGAGCGCCCTTGGCGGCCGTGGAAGATCCTATCGATCAACCCCAGCTGGTTTGCCCTCGTGCTCGGATTCTCTGAGAGCCCAGCACAAGGACGACGGAGCTTCCGAACGCTCCGAGAAGTTTCGAGGGTCGTCGTGCCAGCACACTTACGGCAACAATCGACCGAATTCACACAGAAAACATCGTGGCCCAGAGCCGCAAACTCGGCTATGAGCTCGGTCGACCCCGAACTATTTGAAGCCTCGCCGATCTCTCGCTGCTGGGGAGGGTCCACAGGCCCAGGAAGGGGTTCCTCCGAGGCCTCGCGAGGCCCCTCACCCAAAACGTTCGCGGCGAGCTCTTGGGACGGGGCAATACGGGGGTCCGACGCTTTGACCCAGACCTCCCCCGAATTCTTAAACCATTCCGCACAGGCCAGGCGCTGGAGGCCAGAGGGCTCACATTTCCTTCCCGAACCTGTCCTAAGCCAAGCTAGAGTCGAATCCGAGCGAGCCGATCTCCCACATACCCTGCACCTGTGCTCCTTGAGTCTCCTGCACCACCATAGATCATGATCTGAATCACGACCGAACAAGACTGGCTGACCCCGAACCTCACGAGCCTCTGGATCCTGAACGGGCGGCGGAGGACCTCGGCCCCAACTCGCCGAGACAATGGCGCGTAAACATGCCCACGACACAAACTGCAGCGCGGCCTTATGGATTTTCAAAGCCTCTGTGAGCGACTCCGAGATCGTGTTGGCGATCATGTGATGCGCCGCACCTGCCTTGGCGAAGTAATCAGCCCAGGCATTGCCGAGCCAGTTCTCCAACTCATCAGGGTTATCCAGCACACTGTCGGGATCACGGTGTGCAGGAGCCCACTCAAAACGGATTGGGTACTCGAGCACACGACGCCGAGCCACCAGAAAAATTTCGCGCCATATCTTGGCGTGTTTGCCTCGGCCGTGCTGAAGAGGTTGATCCCAAGACTTGCCCTCTGTTACCAGCCCCAAAAGGTCTGACACGAACAACTCATGATCAGGATGAAATTCCAAACCCATTTTGATAGCATATCTCCCAGCACGGCCAACGGTCTGCACATATAAGGGCAGCGGTCCGTAGACCGCACGGACTGGCAGCAGGGTCTTGGGGTCCAGCTGGATGCATGAGTACCCACACCGCCTAGTCTCTGGAACACTGGAGGCGAAGCCCGAACCGTCGGTGTAGCTCTTGGGGCCCCAAGGCCCATCGGTGTCGCCCCACAGGAGAACTTCAGAACTTATAGTGTCGAGCCCAGGAGGAGGAGGAGGAGGAGGAGGAGGAGGAGGAGGAGGGGGAGGAGGAGGAGGAGGAGGAGAAGGAGGAGGAGGAGGAGGAGGAGGAGGAGGAGGACGGGGATGATGATGAGGAGGAGGAGGAGGAGGAGGAGGAGGAGGCGCGGGAGGGTGACAGGGCGAGAGATATGGCAAGGGGGGTGATTCCAGCAACGACGACGACAGCGACGACGACAAGGGCGCGGGCAAATCAGGGGCGGGAGGACGATGATTTTCAGGACGCGCAAACAATGTTGAGAGCCAACCTGGCTCAAAACCGCACTTGGGGATGCTGGACTGAATCTGCAAATCGGTATGTCGGTGATGCTTCTCCGCTTCGCGTTCCTCCTTGTCCTGGTCCTCCTGCTGCTTCCTCCTCCATTCCCCCCCATGCATCTCCTCCAATTGCTCCTTGCAGGCTTTCCTCTTCGCCCCCCTCGTCTTGACGCGCCCTCCCCGCTCCCCCCTTTCTCCTCCAGACTCCTGCGGGGCCCCCGTCGACCGTGATGTTGGCGCGAAAAACGGTATTGCGCCTGTCGGCACCAACGTCGCCATCGATGCCAGCACAAATGCCGATGCCGGGCCACGATCGGCGTTGGTATCTCAACAGAAGATACACCCCACACCAACAGCGCTTCGCTTCTGATCGCGCGTTCTCAACAAAACCACCCGGGTGGCCCTGCTGAAAACACGCGGAATGGCAACCGCGTAAAATCTACATGGCGGCCTCTGCTGACGCGAGGCCTGCGCTACAGGGGTCTTCTCACTGGGGGCACCCAGGTGTCCCTGCAGAGAGGACGCGGGTCTGACGTCCGACCCTGGGATCATCGCCTGGCTCTGATGGGACACGCTCCACTTCGAGAGCGTCGTCTCATCATGCCCAGCCGACGACCCCCGGGTCAGACCCACGCCCTCTCAACAGAGGCACCCGGGTGCCCCTGCTGAGAAGAGCCCTGCAGCGCAGGCCATCTCACAACAGAAGCCGCCGCGTAGATCTTGGGCGTTTGCCGCGGCCTCGGCCAGCCGTCAACTTCTGCCGCGGAGGACGGCCGTTCGCTCGTCTGGTTCGTCATCATCGCAGTCGTCGCCGTCGTCGTCACCGGGGCCCTCAACGTCATCGTCGTCGAAAACGCTGTCATCGTCATTATCACCGTCGCGGTCATCGCATCGCCGCCGCGCTTATCATCGCGTTCACTCTCGCAGTCAACGCCGCGAGGTACCATTACAATTGTTGGCGTCGCCGCTGTCATCTCCGACGCCGCTGTCATAATTGCGTTCGCCATGATCGGCGGGTCGCCGCCGCCATTGCGGCCCACGTCGTCGCGGCTATAAGCATCTTAGTATTATTCATCATCCGCTTTACCTTCCTCTGCCTTCTAACACTCTGCGTGTCCTCGGCCCCCTCGCCCCCTTCACTTCCTTTTCGGACTAGCGCGGAAACGGTGGGGCCAGAAGTGAGTGTGGGGCGGGGAGTGAGATGTGATACGAGAGCAGGACGTGGAGGAGCAGCAGGAGGAGAATGGGGAATAGAGGAGAGGCGGCAGCAGAAGGAGGACCAGGACAAGGAGGAGGAGGACGCGGAGCAGCGACGACGGAGAAAAAACATGACAGCCAGAGCCCAGCGGCCCCAGCGGTGATTTTAAATCCAAGGTGACTTCAAAACTTGATCAAGCGTCCCCCAAGCCAACGTCTTCCTGCTCCTGATTGGCATGTGCCCTTGTCGTTGTCACTGTGATCGTCGTCGTTGTCACCACTTTCGTATGTTTCTCGCCGTTCACCCTCCAGCACAACTTCATCGTCCCCCCTCACATTCGCCTCCACATACCGTTCCACATGTTTTGCTGTTATTTCCCTACTTCCCCTGTTTCTCTTCCTTCTCGTTATCATGCTCCTGATGCTCTTCCACATCCTGGTACTCTTCGCCCCCCCTTGTACTCCAGAATTTCCTCATTGCCGTCATATTTCACCTTTCGCCAGGGATTTTCTTCAACGAGATGTATTCCGGCCTGGCGCCCCCGCCTAAGACGTCCTTCCACATGACTCTGAAATCCTGATCCCGCCTCGGCGTCGGCTCGCTGCCCCATTGGGCCATGGACGAACGAACCCCTTCTGAAGGACGACTTGATAACAGCAGCGCAATCAAACCGGTCGTTTGATCCTGGCCCCGTCTGGGAGCCCACTTGCGAGGATGTCTCTGGCGAACGGGCTGGGCCACCTGGCACGCCACATCTCGGAGCCCAGAGTTGTGAGGAGGTCTTGGGCCAAACTGGCCGGGTCATTCAAAGTCAGAGCATATCGGAGCCTGGAAATGGAATGATGCCGCAGGAGAATCTGGCCAGACCACCTCGCGTGCACCATCTCTCGGAGCCTGGAGCTGCGAGGTGTCTCGGGCGAAGCGCGCCAGCCAACCTCGCGCGCGGCATGCCTGGTCCCAGAATTGCGATGATGTCTCGAGCATAACGGGCCAGACCACCTCAGGTCAGGATGTCTCGGGCAACGTTGGCCAGACCTTGATGCGAGGCATGCTAGAGCCCACAATTGCGAGGATGTCGCAGGCGAAAATGGCAAAATCATCCCACACGCGGCATATGGGAGCACAAAATTAGGAAAGACCTCAAGCTAAACTGACTGAACCACCTCGCGTCTGGCATCTCGTAATTCGGCCATAATTGCGAAAATGTTCAAGGCGAACTTGACTGACCACCTCAGGTCAGGGCATCTCTGAGCTTAGTCTTGCGAGGATGTTTCAAGCGAATCGGATCGGACCAATTCAGGTCAGAATCCGCTGACCCTGTCGGCGTGTGTGGGATGTCCGTCCGGTCCCGTCGACGGGGAGCCTTATTTCGTCCCCTCCTTCCCATCCTCCTCTCCCGTCGGGGGAGCGAGAGAGAGAGAGAGAGAGAGAGCACCCTTCCTCGTTCGGGGAACGGGTTCGCAGCTTGAGGGAATTCCATCCACGCCCTCATTACGTCAAAGGGCAGCCCCTTCCCTTTGTCCCTTTCCCGACGGGGGGGGGTCCCAGGGGGGGGGGGCTCAAATTCGCATCGCCTCTGGGGGTCCTCCTCTCCCACGCCGGTTCTTCTCCAGCGCGCCGGTCCTCCTCGTGTCCTCCTCCCCAGGTGGGGAGAAGTCCCGGGGGGTGGGAGGGGAGTCAGATACGCATCCGTCCCTGGGTGTCCTCCTCCCCCTCCCCTCCCCTCTCCCACGCCGGTCCTCCTCCGCTCCTCCTCCCCAAGGGGGGTGGGGCCCAAGGGGGGAGTCCTTTTCCTCCTCGTTTTCCTGAATCCTCCTCCTCCTCCTCCTCCTCCTCCTCCTCCTTCTCTCCGCCTCCTCCTCCTCCTCCTTATCTCCGCCTCCTCCTCCTCCTCCTCCTTCTCCTCCTCCCCCTCCTGGTCGTCGTCGATGACTTTCAGGGTCGGCGGCACCAGCCGTCAGGCGTTCACAAGCGAGAATCTCTGGGACCCACCGGATCTGGAGGATGTTTGGGCGCCGCAGCCTTCTCAGAGCGTTCCGGAACGCTATGAGAGCATTCCGAAACGCTCTGGAACGGAGTTATCCCCGTCCAAGCCCCGCCCGATGATGGCATGGCATACTAACGTTTTGAGCGTCAGAGCTGAACCTCCGGGTGCGAACACCGAGGACGTTGCGCAGGCCACGCGGCGGGAGGCCCGACAAGGCAAGGAACCACTGTGTCGAGCTCGGCGGCAGCCCCCAATGCCGCCGCTGGCCGCCTTCGTGAAACCGTGAAAAAGCGGACAGTTCCGTGCGAGGCACGCCGTCGCGCTCGAGCACTGCCCGAGCCTCTGTAAGGACTGGCGCACCGAGTGGCGTGTTCCCTGGCGCACTGTCGCCTGGACTGCGCAGCCACTCCACGCACTATGCTCTCACGGCCGAGCCCGAAAGCGGCCCTCGTCGTCGTCATCGTCGTCGTCCTGAGTCGTTCAAGACGCTGGGTGCTTGGCTTTCTTGCCCCAGCTCGCGCCCCTGGCGGCCGATCGGGACGATCTTGAAACCCCCGGAACGCTCTCGACGAGGCGCAGCTGTTGGAAAGCACCCGGAGACGAAAACTTCAAGCTCCAAGAGCCGACGAAATCGTCCGCAAACCTCCGCTGGCTTTGGGAAGCTCGACGAAGCTCGACCATCAATCATCTTCGAGGTGTGGGCCCCGCGGCGCCAGTTTCTTGTGGCTGGCGGCGTCCAGCATGAGGCGCGACTGGCCGCTGTGCACCTCGGCGGCAAACTCGCGCAGCGTGCGCGCCGTACCCCTGCCGAAGCCGGAGGTGTCGACGCCTGGGACCGACAGAGCACATCCACATCTACACCCACATCATCACCAGCACCATCACCATCATCATCACCAGCATCATCAGCATCATCATCACCACAATCACCTTCATCACAATCATCAACATCATCAACATCGTCATCATCATCGTCATCATCACAATCAGGCTCATCACCGGCATCACCATCATCATCACCATCGTCACCATCATCATAAGCACCCTTATCGTCAGCATCGTCAGAACTATCACATTAATCAGCATCATCGTCATCGTCGTCAGCATCGTCGTCATCATCACACCAACATCATCAGCACCATCACCAACCCCGTCATCGCCATCATCACCATCGTCATCACCATCACCGTGATCACCACCATCGTCATAACCACCACCATCATCATCAGCATAATCCGCTGGCCCCCTTGTGGGGCCACCATGCTGCAGGGTCAGGGTTTACTGTTTCTTGCACCAGTTCCAGCTTCCAGTTTCCACTGTTACAGTTTTGTTTCCTGCTGCTTGTGGTTCCTTGTTGATGGACCGCGCGAGGAGGGGGGAGCCGAAAAGCGTCCCGATTACCACGCCCGACTCGCGTTGCCTGAATTCCTGGGGGGGCGTGGGACACGCACAAATACTTGAAATGCACGCCCCCGAAGCCATAAACCATTGTAAAGTACGCAATGCTCGCGTCCCCGAGGCCATAATAAGCCCTCGCGCAGGACGCGGTATTCGTGTCCCCGAAACCGTACACCTTCACAAAATACGCCGTGTTCGTATCCCCGAAGCCATTCACCTTCGTAAATTACACCGTGCTTGCGTCCCCGAGGCCACAACCACTCGTAGATCACGCGAAATTCGCGTCCCCAGAGCCATAAGCCCTCGTTAAGTTACGCAATGCTCGCGTCTCCGAAGCCATACACCCGTGTAAATTACGCGATACTTGCGTCATCGATGCCCTCGCAAATTGCGTTCTATCCACGTTTCCGAATCCATGAACCTTCGTAAATTACGAGATATTCGCGTCTCCGCAACCATACATAAACCGACGTAAATTACGCTACAGTTGCGACCCCGACGCCATCAACCCTCGGGAATTACGCTGTAGTTGCGTTTCCGAAGCCATAAGCCTTCGAAAAGTATGCAATGCTCGCGTCTCCGAAGCCATAAGCCTGCACAAGTTACGTTTTACTTGCGACCCCGAAGCCACACACCCTCGCAAAGTATGGTATATTCGCGTATCATCACGTTCAAAATTCAACACTGAGTTCAACAATCTCATCATAATCAAAATTTCTCTTGCCGGCGCTGCTTCACGGCGGCGCCGAGGCCTCATGATTTAGCTTTTGCATAGCCCATTATCCGAGAGAGGGGGCCGGCGGCAGGGGGCGAAGCCCTTACGGATAATCAATACCAGTTAAGTGAGATACGCGTGCACTCAACAGAGGGAGAGGAGGAGAGGGGACGAGAGAGGGACCAGGACAGGGCGATGGTATTTTCATGGCAGCGTGGCGACGCGCATCTCCACCTGGGCGTGGGCCCTGACGGCCCACGCCCGACGCGACCGCGTGGGCCCCGACGGACCGCGCGCTCGCGCTCTGGCACGCCTGCGGCCGCTTGGCCCGCGCAGGCGTCTGGGAGCAAAGCGGGGTGGGTGGGCACCCGCGCGTCGGCCAGAGCCGAACGCTACGGACCCAAAATGGCTACCTGAGCCCACACCCCCTCCCACTTAACCTGCAGTCTACAACCAATCAGACTATACAAGTTAAGTGAGATACGCGTGCACTCAACGGAGGGAGAGGAGGAGAGGAGGGGACGAGAGAGGGACCAGGACAGGGCGATGGTATTTTCATGGCAGCGTGGCGACGCGCATCTCCACCTGGGCGTGGGCCCTGACGGCCCACGCCCGACGCGAGCGCGTGGGCCCCGACGGACCGCGCGCTCGCGCTCTGGCACGCCTGCGGCCGCTTGGCCATGAGAAGAGAGAGCGCAGCCGCGCGCGCGGGGACGCCCAGCCCGAAGTGCGAGGGCGGATCCTGAGGCCGCAAGAGCCTCGCGCGCGCGGCCACTTGCCTGCAACCTCGAGGCCTTCCGCGCCCCGCGCACCCAGAGCGCGGGCGCGGCGCGTGCGCGAAGCGCGCAAAAGAACAAGAAAAGAGCGGCGCATGATGCGCCGGGCGCAGAGCGCAAGTGTGGCCCCGACCGCGCGGCGCGCAGGACGCGCAGCGCGGCCGGGTCCAGTAAGCGCGCGACGCGCGCGCAACGTTCAAAATCCTCAAAAGAAAGAGGATCGCAGGCGCCACCTGCGTACCGTAGGCTGAAAGGATCGCAGGCGCCACCTGCGCACCTTAGGCTGAAAGGATCGCAGGCGCCACCTGCGTACTGTAGGCTGAGAGGAAAGCCGGCTCACTCATGGGCCTGGCCCGAGTAGCGGTCCGCCTCGATGGGCCGCCGTCTTCAGCCCGCAGCCCGCGATGCCGCGGGCGCTGGCGTCGGGATGTGGGGTGCTCCACGCCTAGATGGATGGCGTGTTCCCCTGACGATCGCGGCTCTCGTCGCCGCTGCGGTCTCCGCCGCGCTCACTGTGGTCCCGGGGGCTGCCGCCATCGCCGCCCCTCGACGCGCGGCCGCCCGCGCTGGGCCTGTCACGCTCACTCCGGCCGCGGCTGCCCTGGTCGCCCTTGGAGTGGCCGCCCTTGCCGCTCTTGTCGCCCTTGCCGCCGCTCTTGGTGCCCTTGGCGGCCTTGCCGGAGTGCTTGCCCTTGATCTTGCCGCCCTTGCCGCCCTTGTCGCCCGCGCCCTTGCCACGCCAGGCTGGGATCCCACCCCCGCCCGCGGCAGCCTCCGCAGCGGCAGCACGCCGCCGCTTTTTCTCCTGCTCGTACCAGCCGCCGCGAGGAGCGCGAAGCTGCCCAGCGTGCTTCCCGGTCTTACGCCGCGCGCGGCCGGGGGGGGTGTCGCCGCGCCGCGCCCACGCTGGGTCCCGCGCCAGACTGCGGCTGGGCGACCTCTCGCGCTTGGGCCGGTTGCGGCTGGGCGACCTCTCGCGCTTGGGCCAGCTGAGGTCGCCTGGCGGGCGGCCCCCCTCAGCCCCCGCACCCGCGGCACCCATGCTGGGGCGCTCTCCGTGGCCGGCACTGGGGCCCGGCGCCTCCCGCACGGCGTGGCCGCTCTGCCGGGCCTTCTCCACCACCGTCTTGGGTTTGCCGAAGGCGACGCGGCAAGCCTCGCAGTAGCTCACGTCGCACCCCTTACAGTGCCACCGCAGGGCTCCGCTGTTAGCTCCGCCCGCGGGGCACATTTCGCAACCCCAACCGTCTCCCGGGTCAAAGGAGCTCCAGCGCATCTTGAGAGCGCACGTCGGGCAGGCAGGCGGCTGGATGGTCGGGCCATCCTCCCCGTCGCTGCCTGGGTCAGGGCCGCGAGGCCGGCTCGCCCACTCCGTGACCACCGTGCACGGGTCCGTCTTGTAGAACCGATAGTTCGACCTCATGCACTCCCGCGCGCGCTTTGCATCAGCGCGGCGCTGGAACTCCACGAGCACACACGGCTCCCGCTTGTGGCGGTGGTCGTACAGGAAGGCGATGTGTTTGACGACCCCAAAGGGCACGACCACCTGCCTGACCACCTCGGCGTCGACGTGGTGCGGTACCCGCTCGATGCGGATGATGGACTCGCCCTCGTCGTGCTGGTCACTGGGCTGCTGCTGGGCGCCCTGGCGCTGCTCCTCTTTGCGCCTACGGCGGCTCCTCGAGCGCGGCTGGCGCTGGGGCGGACCGTCCCCCGCGCCTGGCGCCGCCGTCTCCTCCACCTCAGTCTTCACCTCGAAGGACCGCGGCGGCGCCCCCCCGCTCTTGGGCTTCAGGACGGCCTCACGCTTCACGATGTCGGCCTTCGGAGGGGCGCCCCCCGTCTTGGGCTTCAGGACGGCCTCATCCTCCCGCCCCCTGCGCCCGCGATCGCGAGGCTCATCGCGCTCGCGATCGCGGCGCCTCGCGCGCGAGGGCGAGCGCAAGGGCGCAGGGCGCCTCTCACGCTTGCGGACCTCCTCGGCGAGGCGCTCCTGCCCCGGGGACCGCGGGGACCGCGGGCGCTCCACTGGAGCGCCTTTGCTCTGGCGCCGCGCTGCAGCCTGGATGGCCGCTCGCGCCAGTGCCGCGGTCACGGCGTCCTCGCCCGGCTCGAGGACCGGGGCTGGGGTCGACCTCCCCTCGCCCCTGCTCGAGGCGTCCTCCACGTCGGTGAGCTCCACGACCGCCTCCGCGTCCACCGTGCGCATCATGTCGAGCAGCCCCCTGTTGTTCTTGCAGAGCTCGCGGAGCCCCGGCATGGGCTGCCCCTGGAACTGGGCCAAGGCGAGCGCCAGCTTGGCCGCCTGGCGCTGGACCTTGATATTCGGCCCCGCGCCCACTCCCCACGCGCCCCGCTTGCCGTCGACGATCACCAGCTGGCCGTGGTCCTCGCTCGCCCCCGCGGCCAGGCAAGCCGCCGCGATGCACGGGGCTGCTTCGTGGTCGTGGTTGACCACCTCGACGAGGTCCTCGCTGTCCAGCTCGTCCACCACCGTGTACAGGATGTTGTGGGCGGCACTCCGGAGCTCGTCCGACAGCGCGGCCCCCGAGACGACGACGCCGAGGGGGTTCACCGCCATGATGCTGTAGTCATGGCCGCGCGCCTTGCTCTGGTCCGGGGCCACCAGGCCCACCAGGAATCCCATGATGCACGCTGCCGAAGCGCGGGGCGGAGGCGCGGCTGGCGCGCGAGGCTGGGGTGCGCGCGCTGCTCGCGCGCCTCGCTCTGGAGTGGGAGATTGCTGCGGATGAGAGGACCAAGAGGAGGTGGGCGTGCCTGGGGCGATCGGGGGCGGCAGCGAAAAGGGGGTCGAGGGCGAGAGGTCCACCGGGATACCCCCGCAACGCGAAGCCCCCGCCCCGAAACGAACACCTGTAGGACCCGCCTGCTGCTTCCCAACACGCCCGCTAACTCCTCGCCCTGGCTCGTATCTCACCG